TTATAAAAGCAGACATCAAGTCACTGGATTCTTGCTTCAAAGCTTATTATCCATCTTCAGAATACATCTCTTCTCAGCAAAATTGCGATTATGTACCTGATACCCTACGGATATTTCTGGGAGGAGTTTTTAGTCAGTCCGAACCAACAGTAAAGATATCGGCTATTGGACAAGCAATTATCCAGGCATGCAGACCAAAGTCAATCATAGCCCCGCTTCAGATAGGTCTCGGTGTACAAATGCACCATCATTTTGGATCGAAGTTCCTTATTGAAACGCTGAACACTCTTGGTTTTTCTTTGTCCTACAAAGAGGTCCAGAAGTATGAACTGAATGCTGCGGCAGCACATGGTAGGAATGACACGACCATTGATGCGGGGTCTTTCATCCAATATGTAGCAGACAACATAGATCATAACTTAAGAACTCTGGTTGGTCATGGAACGTTCCACGGAATGGGAATCATCGCTGCAGTTACTCCTGTAATGCCAAGGCGAAATCCTGTACCGCGCGGAAGTCCAACTATACAAGAAGTAGCTGACTTGGCAAACATAAACATCGAGTTTTAAAGAGGCCAGAGTAACAGTCTGTCGGAGCTGAAATTTGAAGTTCTTCAAGAAATAGCAGACCACGACGAGACCTGGAAACTCGGTTTGTTGTCTAGGTCATCTTGGCCTTTGCGCTGCTTACGGCCAAACTGGTAAGCAATGATGTACAAAATCATGGACGATGCTTTTCCTGGTAAGTCAACAATCATCTTTCTTCCCATGATTGACATGAATCCAAGCGACGTAACGTGTATCTTTTCAACGCTCCATTTCGTGTGTAAAGAGGCAAAGAGAAATAATTTTACTCCTATCATTACATTTGACCAGCCGCTGTATTGGAAGGCAATGACGATAATACAGAATGAACCAAACAACAGTATTCTCAAGAGCATGGTTCTGAAGTTCGGAGGTTTTCATGCACAAATGAGTTTCCTCGGAAGCATTGGGCAGGTATTGGCAGGTTCAGGACTAAAGGAGCTGATGGAAACTGTATATGCCCCTACAGCTGTTTCGCACATGTTAACCGGAAAGGCCATTGCAAGAGCTGTGCGCGGACATTTTCTTATAGATACAGCACTGACAGCCGTTATCATGAATACGCTCTATGACATACCGATACCGGGATCAACAGATAATCAGGAAACCGAGCCAAGACAATCAGATGATCCTGACTACTTCGGTTCTACCCAAGCTGATTTATGCGAGACAGCAAGGCTGTTAGATTCTCTGTTGGAAGGCATTGCATCAATTGAGATGGTGTGCGGAAGTTCAGTCTTGGACAAAATCAAATCTAATATTGACAATTTCAGACTTTCGCACTCAGATTACAGAACATCTCGCTTATGGTTCCAGTACATGGATATGGTAGATATACTCCGGAGGTTTATAAAGGCCGAGAGGACTGGTAACTGGCAATTACACTTACAAGCTATTCAAGAAATGCTTCCATACCTTGCTGCAGCCGGGCATAACTTGTATGCAAAATCACTACGGATTTACCTACAACAAATGAAGAGTCTCGAAACAGATAATACTGCAATATTTGAATTCCTGCAGTCCGGATACAACGTTATCAGAAGAAGTGATGCTTATTGGTCAGGGATTTCTTCAGACTTAGCAATAGAACAAGTACTAATGAGAAGCATCAAGGCAACTGGTGGAATGACACGAGGAAGGGGAATGACTGAAAGTCAGAGAGCACAATGGGTTCTGTCTATGCCAGACTGTTCTGAAATAAACAATGCCATGCAAGAATTCACGAACGTAAAATACAGCACAAGTAACCAACACAAGGAGAGTGGCGTATCTCGAAGGAATAAGGACGCAGCAGACACTCAGACATTAGCGTTGTATATCGCTAACAGAAATCCTTTCTTTGAGGAAGTTGCTCTCAGGAATATAGAAACAGGCGTAACAGCAGACAACAAGGTCAATGCTGACACAGCCAAAGCAGTAGGTTCGGCTATTCTGAAATCTATGGACGGCAAAAGCGTCCAAGAGTATTCGTTCAAACGAAATAAGCGAGTTATAACGCTAGGTGAAAAGTCCTCACTCAAGATCAATGATGAAACCATATCAGTTGACCCCCAGCTGCTATTTCAACGCTTCATCGCTGCTTCAAACAACTTTTACGAAGACCAAGCTGAGATTTTCTCATACGAGCTATGTGGCCATCCAAGTGCAATGTTTGAACCCTCTGGCTTTATGAGATTAGCACAGAAATCAACACTGCTTGATTCTATATGGAATCTAGGTGAATGTAAAGCACAGGATTTAGTTACAGATGGATTTCGTTATGTCATTGATGGAGGCTCCCTTATACATCGAGTGAATTGGCAAACTAATGTGACGTTCGGCCAGATATGCCAGAAATACATCGACTACATACGGCGCATACACATAGAAACAACCGTCGTCTTTGATGGCTACAGCTCTGGCCCTGACACTAAAGATGGAATCCACCTACGACGCAATCGAGGAATCGTCGGAACCAAAGTAAATTTTAACGAGAACACTCCATTCCGGTCAAAGAAAGACGTGTTTTTGGCAAACAGTGAAAATAAGCAGAACTTCATTAATATGCTGAGTGAAAAGATAATTGAAAGTGGCATGGATACAAAACACGCAAACACAGATGCCGACGTCTTGATTGCACAGACAGCAGCTTCATCTGCAACGTCAAAACCCACCGTATTACTTGGCGAGGACACAGATTTGTTGGTACTCTTGTTGTACCATACGGACGTTACTGCACGACAGCTCATTTTCAAATCAAATCATTCACCAAATGGCAAATTGAAGGTATGGGACATCGGTAAAACACAGAGTGTACTTGGAAATGGCATGTGTCAGATACTCCCCGTGATACACGCCATAAGTGGTTGTGATACTACCTCGAGGTTATTTGGCGTGGGAAAGGCTGCAACTCTAAAGAAATTTGTGGAAAGCGACGTCTTAAAAACCCAAGCTAGTGTGTTTCTTTCTTCAAGCTCTACTAAAGAGCATGTCATAGCTTCTGGAGAAATTATTATCAGTACTTTGTACAACGGTTTGCCAAACGAAAATCTGGATGCTTTAAGATACAGAAAGTTTGTAAATCGGGTCATGACGAACAAAACATTCCTACAGATACACACCATTCCTCCAACTTCCGCGGCCGCAGCATACCATAGTTTGAGAACATACTTACAAGTACAAACATGGATATCGGAAATATCTTTGAATCCAAGAGAATGGGGATGGATGCTCTCTGAAGAGAAACTTATGCCTATCAAAACCAACAAAGCTGCTGCACCTGAGTGTCTTCTACGCATCATCCGATGTCAGTGTAAAACTAATTGTGATAATAAGAGATGCACCTGTAGAAAACATGGATTGGAGTGCTCCACGGTTTGTGGGGAGTGCAGAGGTAGCAGTTGTTCAAACTCATCAAAACAAGTGGCCGAGGAATTAGAAGATGATTGATTCAATGAATGGCTGGCTGATGCTATAGCGTTAGTAAAACAATGATAGTAGAGACATGGCTCTTACGATTATCATTCTTGAACAATCACGCATATTAATCTTTATCTTCATAGTTTAGTTTCCTTTGGGGACATTTTACTAACATATCGTAAATTCTATTCCCTCTCCCTACTATAAGGTTACGACTTACGACGTGATTAAAGACTTACAACCAACTGTAGAAGGGTCCCAATATAGCCACTGCATAGATACATAACTCTGGACCCTTTATCAAACTTGTGTCGTTAAAAACTTTGTTAAAAGTTGTGTTTTCTTTGCAAACTGAGAAGAAGAAAAATAATTGCTACTTGTTGGTCAACTCGCCCACAAAAATGTACCATGTAAAATATTCATCTGATAATTGATTGGTTTGATAGTCCTTCTAGTGAAATGATCTAATGTTAAGAATAGATGTACTGTTTATACATGGAATTAGCAAGAGTGATGAATTGTTACGACCAAACTGTAATTTCTCCACTGGAATGCTTACAAAATGACGTCGTATTTCATTTGAATTGGTCAACTCGCCCACGTATAATCGTTGTACAATATTTATTTTTTTCATTGAAAATGTCTTGTGACAGTTTTTATGAGTTATTCAAATCACTAATGACGAATTGTTTCTGAAATGATCCCAATTGCGGTGAAATAAATCATAACAAGTTGAAACACATGTTTACTAGTTTTCATTGGTTTTTATTGAGATACTTGAGTTGGAGGCCCTAATTTGTCAATTTCCCTTTAATTTTTAGATGTCGATTTTTCAGAAGTCATTGGTGATATAAAATAGATGATAAAAATGCATCAACCGTTTCTGTTGCAATTTGTTTGAGGTTAGGGCATTTTTGGCGTTAGGTGACTAGACTATATAACGAATCCATTGTTTACTTTAACCATTGTTTACTTTAACCAATGTTTACTTTAACCATTGGTTACTTTAACCAATGTTTACTTTAACCATTGTTTACTTTAACCATTGTTTACTTTAACCAATGTTTACTTTAACCATTGTTTACTTTAACCATTGTTTACTTCAACGTGGAAGAATTTACAGATCCGGAATATGTTCCACGCCTCCAGATGTTGAGGAATTCCAGCAATGATTGGGATTTAACTTCTTTGAAAAGTGTTTGTTTCTAAAATTAAAACTTTTCAACCACATTTTATCTTTCACAGTCCAATAAATGAGATGAAAACTGATTTTCTCTCAAGAATAATGCCAGTTAGTATATATTTTCTTCAAAGTTTCACTTTACAAACAAAAAGTATAATACATTTAGTACTTGAACTAAGTTAACCAAATACTTAACAGTATTGCATCTCAAAATAACTATTAAATGTTGAATGATTGGACTTAAAAGAGCCAACCAGCCAGGGTCGACAGGGCATTGACAACCAACTCGAATTTGAGCAACATATATCTGTGAAAAAATCAGGGAGGCAAACGCAATGGCGGCAGTCATCAGAAGAAGCTTCCAACACCTGGACGGAGGAACATTCAAACTCCTGGACGGAGGAACATTCAAATACCTGGACGGAGGAACATTCCAACACCTGGACGAAGAACCATTCAAACCACTGTATAAGAGTTGGTACGCACACAGCTAGGTTTTTGTGTAAAAAAGAACTTCTCATAATAGATTGTACATGTTCTGTATGGTCTCCATATAAAGCCAAGTACATCGACAAAATAGAAAGGGTACAGAGAAGAGCTATCAAACAGCTTCATGGAGTACAAAACCTAACCTACTAAGACTTAAAACGCTGAAGTAACCTACACTAACGTACCGACGACACCATGCGGATATGATCGAAACAATCAAAATATGGAACAATGTAACGGAAAGAAACAGCAGCAGAGGCCACTCATTTAAGATATACCCACAACAACCTTTAACATTTAAAAGAAAGAACTATTATACAGTCAGAATGGTGAACATGTGAAATAATTTACACAGTAAACGCACGATCCTTTCAGAATATAATAGATAATACAACTTTAAAGCACCGATTGAAAGCGGACTTCAAGTTCGTCGCGATACAATGATCGAGTCCAGTGGAGAGGTTCTGTACTGGAATCTAACTCTAAGTAACTCCAAGTAAGACAAGACTGACCAAAGCTTCATTAAGTCATTCCAGCTGGCTACTCTTATCTCAAACAGTTGTGGAAGCTTCTGGCTCGTTGGTTTGTAGGTGTCAAATCTAATCAGCTGGTTGACCTTTTGAGCCCGGTTTGAACATTTCAAAGGTCGTGGCACTGTATTTGCGTTCATTATCTTAACATTAGACATCGTTATATCTTTGCAAATTTTGTATACTGATGGCGCTGCCGGAAATACGCTTGTTATATTTGAATCCAAAATGCTCCGCCGGAAGTATCCATGAACGTTTTTTAAACAAAATACGCTGAAGGAAGTACGCTTGTTAGTTTTGTATCCCAAATGCTCTGCCGGAAGTATCCATGTAAGTTTTTTATTCCAAATGCTCTGCCGGAAGTATCCATGTAAGTGTTGTATCCCAAATGCTCTGCCGGAAGTATCCATGTAAGTTTTTTATTCCAAATGCTCTGCCGGAAGTATCCATGTAAGGTTTGTATTCCAAATGCTCTGCCGGAAGTATCCATGCACGTTTTGTATTCCAAATGCTCTGCCGGAAGTATCCATGAAAGTTTTGTATTCCAAATGCTCTGCCGGAAGTATCCGTGTACGTTTTGTATTCCAAATGCTCTGCCGGAAGTATCCGTGTAAGTTTAGTATTCCAAATGCTCTGCCGGAAGTATCCATGCACGTTTTGTATTCCAAATGCCCTGCCGGAAGTATCCATGTAAGTTTTGTATTCCAAATTCTCTGCCGGAAGTATCCGTGTAAGTTTTGTATTCCAAGTGCTCTGCCGGAAGTATCCATGCACGTTTTGTATTCCAAATGCTCTGCCGGAAGGATACATGTAAGTTTTGTATTCCAAATGCTCTGCCGGGAGTATCCGTGTAAGTTTTGTATTCCAAATGCTCTGCCGGAAGTATCCATGCACGTTTTGTATTCCAAATGCTCTGCCGGAAGTATCCATGTAAGTTTTGTATTCCAAATGCACGGCCTGGGATGTACGTTTGTCATTGCTGTACATTTATTCCAAATGCGCAGACGGAGACGCGTTGTCAGATGCTCTGTCGGAAGTGTACTTGATAATTTTGTATTCCGAATGCACTGACGGAGATATGGTAGTTAATGCTCTGTACCAATGACTGAGTTGGGGGTACCGTCAGTTCTAAATGTATTATGCTGATATCGTCAATGTAAAAGACACTCTCTTTAAGATATCATTAATGTCAAAGATATTCCATATGTATAGATTAGAATTTCCCTTTGAAACTTAGAAATGGAAAGTGATAAGGAAAACCCTTGTTTCCACTGATGTACTTGTCCATGTTCTGTCACTGCGTGTTATGGGTCAACAGAAATACATTGTTCATTTTTTATAATCTTTACATTCCAGAACATTAAGTGTTGATGTTTGTCAAGATGTTCAATTACGTCCGATTTCGACTGGCAGCAAGTGTGACATTTGTGTGTATAGCGACCCTGATATGGCTGGGCATATCTTCACAAAGCGCTAGACACAAAATGCTCAAGTCAATCCAGTTACTAACAGCCGACGGTCACCTACTAGACAACCACTATGACATCGATATGACCGTTCCAGCGCTTACCACGTACAGCTACACCCCGAATGGCGACGATGTCATTACAATCCTCAAGCAGTCCACCACAGCACCTTACATTGAAGGTATACACCAATAAGTAGCCCGAGTTTCCTCTGGCCCTGACATTTTGACTGATAGATGTCTGGATCTATCCGTCAAAATGTCTGAGTCTGGTGTCGGGGCAAGAGGAAACCCGGGCTACATGGCAAGAGAAAACCCGGGCTATAGGGCTAGAGGAAACTCGGGCTACAGGGCCAGAGGAAACTCAGGCTGCATGGCCAATCTGATTTAAATACAGCTCCTCATTATACTATCGTTCTACTATCGTATGAGGCTCATACGATAGTAAAGAGGAGCTGTATTTTAATCAGATTGGCTGCAGGGTCGGAGGAATCTCGGGCTACAGGGCAAGAGGAAACTCGGGCTACAGGGTCAGCGGAAACTCGGGCTACAGGGCCAGAGGAAACTCGGGCTACAGGGTCAGAGGAAACTCGGGCTACATGTTCAGCGGAAACTCGGGCTACAGGGCCAGAGGAAACTCGGGCTACAGGGTCAGAGGAAACTCGGGCTACATGTTCAGCGGAAACTCGGGCTACAGGGCCAGAGGAAACTCGGGCTACAGGGTCAGAGGAAACTCGGGCTACATGTTCAGCGGAAACTCGGGCTACAGGGCCAGAGGAAACTCGGGCTACAGGGTCAGAGGAAACTCGGGCTACATGTTCAGCGGAAACTCGGGCTACAGGGCCAGAGGAAACTCGGGCTACAGGGTCAGAGGAAACTCGGGCTACATGTTCAGCGGAAACTCGGGCTACAGGGCCAGAGGAAACTCGGGCTACAGGGTCAGCGGAAACTCGGGCTACAGGGCCAGAGGAAACTCGGGCTACCCAATCATGTGTAGACATTGTAGAGAGGAGTGTATGTTGATGTAATGCGGATTGTGTGTTTAAAGTCTCTCCTTTTCATTTAATTATTATTTAATGTCTTAGGAAATATAAACAGCTATTGACGCTTTGATTATCTACAAGCCTCAGATTTCTTTTTAGCTTCATTTTCTCACTACCGTTCTACAGCATATATATATCATGCAATCAACTCGACTCAGTGCAATCTGTGACTGGTACCACACGTTAGTCAATATTATAATGAACTGGACTTATAACTTCAGGTGTTGTTGATAATGAATCATGTGCTGTCAAGAAATCAACATTGTTTACAAACGATTATTTCATATGTTTTTAGTTTTCAGATGGCACTTTGATGCAGCTCCCGTTTTGTTCGCCTAAAACATTGAACCGATGGGATTTCAACTGCAAAGTGAAATGTTCAGATCCAATAACTGCTACTTTAGAAACCGATCTCCGATCCAAGTTTCGAATCGTGTGTGATGCGCAAGTAGAGTCTGATGGATCAACGGACGTGAGTGATGCTAATGCTTCAGTGCCAATATTCAACTTTACGGATATATGTCTAAGAGCTACCCTCGAACAATTTTGTTTGGACGACCAACCAGTACCGAATATAGTGCATTATATTTTCTTTGGTATTCACCAACTATCTTTTTTCCACTTCCTCAGTATTTGGAGTGCACATATTATACAACAGCCGTGTGCTATCTTAATCCACGGAGACACTCCAATATCCGGTCCTCTCTGGCGCCGTCTCGGAACAGCTGTGCCAAATCTTATACGCGTTAGAAAAGCGCCCCCTAGTGACGTGTTTGGGATTCCGATAGATTTGATTGAACACAAAGCAGATGTAGCAAGGTTGGAGGCTGTAAGAGGTATGGCTCTCCCAATAAGTTCCCTCTTCAGCAAGGCTGGGACCGTCAGAGTTATGTCCCTCCCAATATGTTCCCTCTTCAGCAAGGCTGGAAGCCGTCAGCTTTAAGTCCCTCCCAATATGTTCCCTCTTCAGCAAGGCTGGAAGCCGGCAGAGATAGTTCCCTCCCAATATGTTCCCTCTTCAGCAAGGCTGGAAGCCGGCAGAGATAGTTCCCTCCCAATATGTTCCCTCTTCAGCAAGGCTGGAAGCCGTCAGCTTTAAGTCCCTCCCAATATGTTCCCTCTTCAGCAAGGCTGGAAGCCGTCAGAGTTATGTCACTCCCAATATGTTCCCTTTTCAGCAAGGCTGGGACCGTCAGAGTTATGTCCGTTCAATATGTTCCCTCTTCCGCCAGGCTGGAAGCCGTCAGCTTTAAGTCCCCCCCAATATGTTCCCTCTGCAGCAAGGCTGGAAGCCGGCAGCTTTAAGTCCCTCCAATATGTTCCCTCTTAAGCAAGGCTGGAAGCCGTCAGCTTTAAGTCCCTCCCAATATGTTTTCTCTTCAGCAAGGCTGGGACCGTCAGAGTTATGTCCCTCCCTATGTGTTCCCTTTTCAGCAAGGCTGGGACCGTCAGAGTTATGTCCCTCCCTATGTGTTCCCTTTTCAGCAAGGCTGGGACCGTCAGAGTTATGTCCGGTCAATATGTTCCCTCTTCAGCCAGCTAAAGGCCGTCAGATTTATGTCCCTTCAATATGTTCCCTCTTCAGCAAGGCTGGAAGCCGTCAGAGTTATGTCCCTCCCAATATGTTCCCTCTTTAGCAAGGCTTGAGTCCGTCAGAGTAATGTCTCTCCCTATATGTTCCCTCTTCAGCAAGGCTGGAGGCCTTGAGTTATGTCCTTCCCAATATGTTCCCTCTTCAGCAAGGCTGGAAGCCGTCAGAGTTATGTCCCTCCCAATATGTTCCCTCTTCAGCAAGGCTTGAGTCCGTCAGAGTAATGTCTCTCCCTATATGTTCCCTCTTCAGCAGGCTGGAGGTTGTTAAATGTATGCCCCGTTCCTCTTAAGCAGGCTGGCGTCTGACAGAGTTATTTCTCTCCCAATAGGTTTTCCTCTTCAGCAGGCTGGATGTCGTTAAATGTATGCCCCTCCCCATATGTTTCCTCTTCAGCAAGAGGCCGTCAGAGTTATGTCCCTCCCTATATGTTCCCTTTTCAGCAAGGCTGGGACCGTCAGAGTTATGTCCCTCCCTATATGTTTCCCCTTAAGCAAGGCTCCCCATATGTATGTTCCCTTTCCAGAGAGCTAAAAGTTTAAATTTAGTGTCAAGGATTTTAAGATTTGAAATATCATGAGTAAGCGCAGACTTTTTTTCGTCCACCGACCCTTATTGCGTTATAAATGGTTTTGGTGCAATATCTAGGATTTCGCGTAACGAAATGTCAAGAAGAATGGTATTTCATAGCGACAAATGAAATCAATTGCATAATATTGAGGACTTACTGTACATATCTTAAGTATTGAAAAGTATTACGCTATCAATGAACAGTGTTGCTTTATATTGACAGATTTCGGGGGCATTTACATGGATACGGACGAAATTCTTTTACGGAATCTTAATCCTCTCAGGAAATATGACTTCACGCTGAGCCATGCGTTTGATTACAATTTAAGTAACGGACTGATCATGTCAGCCAGGAATGCTTCCTTCGTGAATATCTGGTACAGCCAATATAGCACGTACGATCCTACTCTATGGGGACATCACTCTACCATTGTGCCATATCAACTCTCACAACAATATCCTCACCTGATCCATGTTGAGAACAATAGTTTTGTTAACCCAGACTATGATCATGTAGATATGATATTCAACGGGAATTTTAACTGGAACAATAACTATGCAATTCACCTGTTCATAAGAAAATATGATTTGGAGCATAACTTTACGGACGTCCGTCATTTAAATACAACTATTGGAGCGGTGTCTAGACATGTGTTATTTAGCTGTAAGGAGCTGTGCTCAGATTAGGTTCACAATACAACTATTGGAGCGGTGTCTAGACATCTGTTATTTAGCTGTAAGGAGCGGTGCTCAGATTAGGTACACAATACCACTATTGGAGCGGTGTCTAGACATGTGTTATTTAGCTGTAAGGAGCGGTGATCAGATTAGGTACACCATACAACTATTAAACGGTGTCTAGACATGTGTTATTTAGCTGTAAGGAGCGGTGCTCAGATTAGGTACACAATACAACTATTGGAGGGGTGTCTAGACATGTGTTATTTAGCTGTAAGGAGCTGTGCTCAGATTAGGTCCACAATACAACTATTGGAGCAGTGTCTAGACATGTGTTATTTAGCTGTAAGGAGCTGTGCTCAGATTAGGTCCACAATACAACTATTGGAGCAGTGTCTAGACATGTGTTATTTAGCTGTAAGGAGCGGTGCTCAGATTAGGTACACAATACAACTATTGGAGCGGTGTCTGGACTTGTGTTATTTAGCTGTAAGGAGCTGTGCTCAGATTAGGTTCACAATACAACTATTGTAGCGGTGTCTAGACATCTGTTATTTAGCTGTAAGGAGCTGTGCTCAGATTAGGTTCACAATATAACACGGATATTGTGACATAATCAAACCTTAAGGAAGTTCTTTCTTGTATTCTTTGATAAACAAATAAAAACCCAATGTGATACTATAATAAATCTGTACAATGTAAAGCTTGCCAGAAGTCACGAGGGATGGAGGTGACCTTAATATATATGATTATGATGCGTTTCATTTCAACAAATTTGAGCGAATAAATCATAAGTCATGTGACGGACGAACTGCAAAACGTGAATATGGATTATAGAATAACTGAACATTGGGCAAGAAGTGGATACCAATTAGTCAAACCTGCTCCAGAGATCGCCTCTATTTTGAGACCATGTACTTTGACTTCCCGAAGGTGGTCTCTGAATAGAGGCTTTAACTGTGTTGTAGTTGACAATTAGGTTGGCTTTATCTAACCAATCGTTGCAATATGTTTACAATAAACATTGATTAATAACGCATGGATACCCGGTGCCTTGAAATAAACAATAACCAATTAAGGCATTGAAGAACAGAAAAAGGTGTGCAGTTATCAGTGTCTAAAAACTAAACAAAAGAAGTGAATATAAATTGATACAAACAAATTCTCACATACTTATTGGAATCAAAAGACCTTTTTTAGAACCCCAGGATCCTAACATATCCAGGAGTTCAACATTCCAGCAGTGAACCATCTTTAAAGAATGGCAAAAATAAACAACATTGTTGGGACCAAGTAAACCAGCTTTGAAGAGGTGACTTTTAGGGGGAATAGAAACAAAGGAATCGCAGTTTATAAACACATTGTGAATATGCATAAAGTTTTGATAAACACAATGAAATGGTCAGCTCTAGTGTCAAATATCCAGGTAAATAAACTCATAAGATGTTTCATTTACTTATGCGTCAAAAAGTGTGAATGCATTGCTGAGAAGAATAGCAAAGAACCTGTTACAGGAACAAAAGAATTTTACCCACTTCCGTAAAAAATTGACATAGAAAAAAAGTGAATGAAAATACCAACATTTTTAGACTTTAGGATTGCAGAACTTTTTTATTATGCAATGTTTTGTTACATATCTGAGTTCATAATTTGTAGCAGATCCTACTTTTAACAATATAATATAATTTGATAGCGTAAAAAACATTGTTTTGATAGTTATTTGGACAAAAAAGTGAACCCTGTCGTACACTTTTGGAGGGCGGCACTAAATAAGTCATAACACAGGCCCCGGGGACCTTTTTAATTTAAAAGTAGTATCTCATGTGTCGTGTCTTAATGAGCTACAAATAAACCCCAGATATGGTTAAATTGCTTTGTGGGCAAAATTCTTTTGTTCCTGTAACAGGTCCTTTCACAAAACAACTTGTAGGTTCTCTAGTACTATGACTTAACTATCTTTAGAATTAATAGAACAAGACAATATAACATTTTTGTCTATTTTTTTATAGAGACATTATACAACTTGGCAACAAAATGTGAAATCGTATATTAACGTTTCCAGGCTTAGACACTAATTAGTTTTGCTCGGTAGTCCACAGGACTTGATGAATAGATTATTCGCTAGTCCAACGTCAATTCAACTAGTCTGTGATTTCCCGAAGGTTACATCCAAAACATGAAATGGAAAAATTAATCGACTATATGGGATGTAAAAACCTTCTACATGTATGTATTTCAATAGAAGTCCAAGAAGTTTTTAACAACTAAGATGAAATTTTCTGTATTTAAAGCAGTGTTTTGAAAGGAATATTTCAATTTTGTAATCTGACAGTCCTATTGTGATCAATAGCATAACTTTTGCAAGTCCAAAGGACTAGTTAGGTTAGGCGATTCACTAGTCCCTGCTGAAATCTACTAGTCCAGGATTAGTTAGGTAAGGTGATTTACTAGTCCCTGCTGAAATCTACTTGTCCAGGATAGTTAGGTTAGGTGATTCACTAGTCCCTGCTGAAATCTACTAGTCCAGGACTAGTTTGGTAAGGTTATTCACTAGTCCCTGCTGAAATCTACTAGTCCAGGACTAGTTAGGTTAGGTGATTCACTAGTCCCTGCTGAAAACTACTAGTCCAGGATTAGTTAGGTAAGGTGATTTACTAGTCCCTGCTGAAATCTACTAGTCCAGGACTAGTTAAGTTAGGTGATTCACCAGTCCCTGCTTAAATCTACTAGTCCAGGACTAGTTAGGTAAGGTGATTCACTAGTCCCTACTGAAATCTACTAGTCCAGGCATAGTTAGTTAAGGTGATTCACTAGTCCTTGCTGAAATCTACTAGTCCAGGACTAGTTTGGTAAGGTTATTCACTAGTCCCTGCTGAAATCTACTAGTCCAGGCCTAGCTAGGTAAGGTGATTCACTAGTCCTTGCTGAAATCTTCTAGTCCAGGACTAGTAAGGTAAGGTGATTCAATAGTCCTTGCTGAAATCTACTAGTCCAGGACTAGTTAGGTAAGGTGATTCACTAGTCCCTACTGAAATCTACTAGTCCAGGACTAGTTAGGTAAGGTGATTTACTAGTCCCTGCTGAAATCTACTAGTCCAGGACTAGTTAGGTAAGGTGATTCACTAGTCCCTTCTGAAATCTACTAGTCCAGGACTAGTTAGGTTAGGTGATTCACTAGTCCCTGCTGAAATTTACTAGTCCAGTACTAGTTAGGTAAGGTGATTCACTAGTCCCTGCTGAAATCTACTAGTCCAGGACTAATTAGGTAAGGTCATTCACTAGTCCTTGCTGAAATCTACTAGTCCACGACTAGTTTGGTAAGGTTATTCACTAGTCCCTGCTTAAATCTACTAGTCCAGGACTATTTAGGTAAGGTGATTCACTAGTCCCTACTGAAATCTACTAGTCCAGGACTAATTAGGTAAGGTCATTCACTAGTCCTTGCTGAAATCTACTAGTCCAGGACTAGTTTGGTAAGGTTATTCACTAGTCCCTGCTTAAATCTACTAGTCCAGGACTAGTTAGGTAAGGTGATTCACTAGCCCTTGCTGTAATCTACTAGTCCAGGACTAGTAAGGTAAGGTGATTCACTAGCCCTTGCTGTAATCTACTAGTCCAGGACTAGTAAGGTAAGGTGATTCACTAGCCCTTGCTGTAATCTACTAGTCCAGGACTAGTAAGGTAAGGTGATTCACTAGTCCTTGCTGTAATCTACTAGTCCAGGACTAATTAGGTAAGGTGATTCACTAGTCCCTGCTGAAATCTACTTGTCCAGGACTAGTTAGGTAAGGTGATTCACTAGTCCTTGCTGAAATCTACAAGTCCAGGGCTAGTTAGGTAAGGTGATTCACTAGTCCCTGCTGAAATCTACTAGTCAAGGCCTAGTTAGGTAAGGTGATTCATTAGTCCCTGCTGAAATCTACTAGTCCAGGACTAGTTAGGTAAGGCGATTCACTAGTCCCTGCTGAAATCTACTAGTCCAGGACTAGTTAGGTAAGGTGATTCACTAGTCCCTGCAGAAATCTACTAGTCCAGGACTAATTAGGTAAGGTGATTCACTAGTCCTTGCTGAAATCTACTAGTCCAGGCCTAGTTAGGTTAGGGGATTCACTAGTCCTTGCTGAAATCTACTAGTCCAGGCCTAGTTAGGTTAGGGGATTCACTAGTCCTTGCTGAAATCTACTAGTCCAGGCCTAGTTAGGTAAGGTGATTCAATAGTCCTTGCTGAAATCTACTAGTCCAGGACTAGAGGACTAGTGTCAGTGTCTAACCCTGGTTTTAACAGATAGAAGCGAACACTGCTATGTTAGCAATCAACAATAGGAGTCATATGTAATTGACATAAACCTTAGATACCGCAAAAGTAACGGTAGGTAGCTTGCCACGTCTGGTTTTCGGCAAGGTAACCTTGTCTACATGAACACCTCATTCGGCAAGGTAACTTCATTTGCGTTTCGTGCAGTGTTTACCTGTCCATGGTAATTTAGCAGCAAGACGGCACTAATATGACATCGTAATTACTCATCTCACCAAGTTATTCGACCCAATGTTTACGGGAAAACGTAGATGAGCTTCACCATATTTTTGCAACAAATGTAACCTTATTTGAGAACAACCATATGGTGTGCACGTTTATAAACTTGCTTACTTTTATTTTTCTTCAAAGAGCTTTGGCGAGTTGCTATGCCTATTTCCCCAAATCTTTGATCCGCTAGTGCGCGCGTTCAACCGTGCACTGTTATGACGCGTTCTCAGGTATATGTATACAGGTAACTCTATCAATTTCAATTCAACTTTATTCTCTTTCACAATATAATGTATAGGATTATATTTACAATATAATATATAGTAATGGTAGTGTTCGTAGTCGGTAGTACACAGTACTGTTTCATGATAAATGCACATTTGTATCGAGGAGGTCAAATATTGTTAATAATTATTCTTATAAAAGTACAAAGTTTCTTCAGTGTTTTTATATTAGTAGTATTCATTAATTCATAGAACTTAATTACATTTGGTCTCGTCCAAAAATATTTATTTATATATAAAATTCGATACCCAGACAGTGACGGACACTCAAGCAAGTAATGTAATTCGTCACCAATTTGCTGACTGTTACAGTGTGGACATTTTCTTTCATTATACTCTAAATG